TAGGTATTTGAAATGGTTTGATAAGCTATCTAGCTGACCTCCTGCTACCTGATGTCATCTCAGCCTGCTACTTCTCCACCATCTTGACTCCTTCTCCTTCTGGTCCTTTTCAATGTAAAGTGCCATAGTATTTATGTATTTCTTACCCATTTCACATGTTAACTGTGCTATCATTTTAACTATGTTCCAAACTTTGTTTTTAATGTGTCACTGATGAAGTATTTGCTCCAACCTCATTTCTTTAATAAGCCCTGTCCTTTTTATTGTCTGATTTTGTATGACTTGATAGTTTTTAGGAATGTGATGTCATATTCTAGCAGCACTGACTCTATTCAAAACTGTAAATTCATACAAACGTCTCTAATTCCAGTCCAACACTCCAGGATTCATTCTAATTTTCTTATCTTCTATTTTGGGAGACCCAGTGATAAACCTATCTCTTCTTATCCTTGATATGGGCACTTAATTCATCAAGTCCCAGTAGATAACCCATCTTTCATCACTACCACTGCCTCATCCTTGAGACAGGTGATCTCCTCACCACCACACTTTATCACCATAGATGCTAGCTTACCCTTCATTCCCTTAAGACAACCCTTTTCATGTGGTCACTCTTTTCACTCTTCGTGGCTCAGATTCTCCACCATGAGCAGTCTACTTACATTGTTCAGGCTCCAACAACGTGTGCTGGTCTGAGCCACCGAGTCACCCTCACCACCACGTAGGAAGGACTACCTTGTTCGGTTCTACCTTTAGTGGTAGGACTGAATTTTTCATTAGAAGAAGAAATGGAAAGGTGAAGAGGATTAAGAAGAGTCAAATTTTCTTTTTTTGTCAGAGGAATAAAAAACAGTGATCTATCACCCTACAATAACTGTCTTCTGAACTTGCATTATGGGATTAGCTTTATCCCATTTTTTAAAAAGATTTTATTTACTCATTTGAGAGACAATAAGAGTGCACAAGCAAAGGGGGAAGAGTAAAAGACAGGGAGAAGCAGGTGCCCTGCTGAGCAGGGAACCCAATCTGGTGTTTGATCCCAGGACCCTGGGATCATGACCTGAGCCAAAGGCAAATGCTTAAGAGACTGAGCCACCCAAGCACCCCAACTCAATTTCATTTCAGAAAAGCCTTTTAATCTTATAGAAGGAGCCAGGGATTACATCTGTATTGAGCTAGGTTAAATTACCAGTCATTCTTCTCCAAAACTTCTAAAATGAAGCAAAATAGAGCATGAAGTGATTGAAAAATATCACTTTATAAGTTGCTGTTTCAATTTGTGGTAGATGTTTACCCTGTGATACATTAAGGACATTTTGTTTTATCCTTGATTTCAAACATAAAGTGACTTTTTAGTCCAAAATGGATTTTACTAGCCCACATTGATGACATGGAACACACTCCTCTTACAGAGCAAATGCTGTTTGGGGAGGGGTGTAGGGGAACAGAGTCCAGACCATAGTGCAGCTGTGAGCTGCACTATGCTGTTTTCACTCCCAATCTTCACCAACAAAACAGGTAGCCAGCACTCAGTTCATTAAAGAGGCAGGCAAAAACTATATAAGCCAATTGATGAACACCTCTCCACTTTTTCTTTGAATAAATTCATGGGGGAGAATTAAAAATCTCAAGGTCAGATACTTAAAGCAAAACATGAATTGGGTAAGATGAGACAATTAGGAGCTACAGAAGTATCTCTAGGATCTCATTGAAGTAGAAGCTAGTTCAGTTCAATACTATTCTCTTAGAAGCACTTTCTAATAATTAGCACCAATTCTTTATTGAGCTAGAAATGAGAATTTACATCATATCTCACAATACACCATTTTGAGTTTATTGGCCCTAAGTATGTTAGATAAATTGTAAATATTTCACATTATGGTTTGTAGATTCCATCATTCTC